CGGCCAAGCTGGGGGATTCTGTCGGAAAGGTAATCCAACTTGGTGCCCAAGTCGAGGTAGAGGTACTGGACTTGGACGCTGTTTCCTCCGCGGCCGAGGTGCTCGAGGCGCTCCGAAAGGCCATACCGGGCGACGACCTGGCGGCGGTAGCTGAACGCGAGGCAATCAGCGACGTCAGGATCTGGTCAGTACGGACGGGTCAACAGATCGCCACGGCCAAAGTTAGCAGACGCGTTGCCTTACTGCTCACCAGGATCCCGGTCGGATGGACCATGTGCCGTGTGCGCCCGAGGACTCCTATACCGGAGAGATGCTTCAGGTGTCAGGCCTTTGGGCACAACTCTAGGAGCTGCAATGCGACTGACAGATCTGGAGCATGCTGGAGAGGTGGTGACCCCGATCACCGGATGGCGGCGTGCAAAGCGGACCTAGATCGTTGTCTGGCTTGCGATCTGGCTGGGCTTCCGAAGATTACCCACAAGCCGGGATCCGGCGCTTGCGCCTCCAGACGGATGGCTGCAGGAGGAAAATCAACCATCAATGGTTAAGTTTCTTCAAATAAACTTGATCAAGAACTGAGCGGCCGAGCAGTTAATGTACCAGACCGCTGATGAGACTAGCACTGACATACTTAAAGTGAGCGAACCCTTCAGGAGGTGCGGCCCCGAGGACAAGTGGTGTTTCAGCACGGACCGCAAAGCCGCCGTGGCAACCACCCAAGGGACAATGCTCGTTCGCAGCGCGCATGGTGCAGGCGAAGGCTTCACGTGGGTGACTTTCGGAGACTTGTCAGTCTTTAGCTGTTACTGGAGGCCCGGCCAGACGCTTCAGGAATTTTCTCTCTTCCTGGCCGACCTCGAAGGCCCAATCCGGGCGAACGTTAGTCCAAACGTCGTTGTAGGAGATATCATTCCCGCGTACCACGAAAAGCCTCCGTATGGCATATAGCGAGACATTGAAAGTCCGTAAAGATTATTTGCTATAAAAGGAAACTTGGTTAATAAACGTGCGATTTTTTGTATTTGTAATATTACCATCCTGGTATACGAGCCACGTGTTCGGTTCGTCGGCTTTGTAGCCAGGTGTCTTTGGATTGTTGGCCCTGGCATGCCGCTTACTGGCTTGCGCTAACCCACCGCGTATCCCGCTCCCAAAAAATAAAACTTGCTCATAATCGGTGAAGGTCCGGGAAACCTCTGGAGTTGTGCCCGAAACTTTGACAGCGGAAGCACCTCTCTGGAGGCAAAGTCCTCGCGCGCAATCGGCACATCGTCCATCCGACTGCTACTCTCGTTAAGAGGGAGGCGGCGTGTCTGGATAGCTTCGCAGTAGATATTTGTTGACCGGTCCTGGTCGGCCAGATCTGGACATCTCCGATGCTGTCCCTGTCTGCCTGGGCCGCAGGGTCGTCTTGACTGGGTATGGCGGAGCGCAGAGCTTCAAGTACTTCAGCTGCGGTGGAAACAGCGTCCAAGTCGAGAATCTCTATCTCAGTCTGGACGTCAAGTTGGGACACCCTCCCAACAGAATCCCCGGGGGGGG